GCTCAACCCGTTGAGGCCATTTGGGGAGTGAATCAGCAGATGGAAGATGGACCTCTCTCTTTCTTTCTCTCTCTTTCAAATAAATAAATAAGTCTTAAAAAATAAAATCATCACTTGCTAATGATCACATCACTCCAATCCTCCGGGAGTGTCTTGAGCACTTGGCCATGTTGCAGATCCTTAATAAATCTCTGCTTTTACACTTGGAGGTCATATGCTGACCTGCTCTTTAGTCTGAAAAGGAGAGCCCAGCAGGCCCGGCGTCGGGAAAGACTGGGAGTGGTGAGCTGCAAACATCTCGAAACGGAGAACAGGGGCGGGCGTTCGGCACAGTCGGCACAGCCGGTTAGGCCACTTCTAGGGACACCCACGTCCCGTATTACAGCACCTGGGGTCACGTCCTGCCTCCACTTCTGATCCGGCTTCCTGCTGGCGTGCACCCTGGGAGGCAGCAGTGATAGCTCAAGTACTTGGGTCCTCGCCACCCAGATGGGAGACCCAGGTGGCATTGGGGGCTCCTGGCTTAGGCCTGGCCCAGCCCCAGCCCCAGCCCCAGCTGTGAAACACAGATGGAAAATCTATCTATCTTTCAAATGAATAAAATTCAGTTAAATGAACAGAATACTCCACTCACAAGGACTTGAGTGATGCAAGTCTTCCCCACTGTACAACATGCCCCAGGTAGCCTCTTCGCTTCCCTGGGAAACGACGTTACTGTTCAACACCATTGGCGTCTCCCGGGAGGTGGGTTCCGTTTCTCGGCCCCCCGGGTGGTGCTTGGCCAGGGCTCACTTTGGCCAGACAGATACAAGATGAGGCTCCACGAGTCATTTCCTTGCAATAGCTTCAAAAGCCACCGCGTGCTTCCTCCTTCTGCATTCTACAGACAGCAGGTGTGGCCACACGGCGTCCTGCGGCCAGGGAAAGTGAGCAGTGCCCACCACGGAGGCAGAAGCGCCACCAGCCAGTCCGCGCTTCGTCTCTTTCTCCTTGACGTCTGAGGTTCCGGACAGGACCAAGGGCAGCTCTGTCAGCCGTCGGCGAAGCGCAGAGACCACACGTGGCAGAGGCACAAAGCACAGAGATGCTCCCGCAGCAGGGGACACGGCCTACACTGGAAGGCGCAGGGACTTCAAGATCTGTTACTGCCGCGTGGTCTGCGCCGTCCGCACTGCTCTGCACACAGCTCCCAGCTGGCGACGTCTGAGAGGCGTTTCAGCGTCATCAGTTCCCGTGATCCTCTCCAGCCTTCGTGCAGGCGGTGGCTTCATAAGCAGAGCCAGTCATAACCACAGGATGCAGAATTTTCTTTTTAGCCTCTGAAAACCTTTCCTTATCCTCTCTGGGTAAAATCATTCTCATTCATTCATTTCACAAATATGGAGGCAAAAATCACGCGCCAGGCGTTGTGCTAGGTGCTGAGCGGGCCATGAACAAGGTAAGCACGGCCCCGCCTCAGGGGAGGTTTAGTCTCGAGGAAAAGCCAGAAAAAAGCAAATCCTTACACAGAGACTTACAGGCAACAGGGGGAGTGCAACAATGATGTCGCCCAGGGTGTGTGAACACGTAACCGTGAACCTGACCAGGTCTGCCTCCTTGTCCAGGAAAAGATGGGGAAGCAGAACTGTATCTTCCTACGGAGCCGTGCTCGGATCTCTGGACCAAACTTTGGAATGTATCCCGCACCTGGGCCAAGAACCCTGTTCACACTGTTTATGTTCATGGGAAAACCAGCTGGAATATGGAGGAACCAACATCTTCAGCTCTAAACTATTAAAAAAAAAAAAAAAAAAACCACTTGGGGCCGGCACTGTGGTGCAGCAGGTTAAAGCCCTGGCCTGAGGCGCTGGCATCCCACATGGGTGCTGGTTCTGGTCCCAGCTGCTCCTCTTCTTGTCGCTCCCCCTCTTCGTGGAGGAACGACACAGGACCCTGCGCTGTTCTTTCGTCTGCTCGGCCCTCCCCGGGTTTGCTGCTGGTTCTTCCCGGGTTGGCTACCGTCCCTTCCACCTCCGTGGAAGGGCGGTTCCCCCTAGCCACTTTCCCCACTTCCGCGGGGGAGCGGCACACCGCCGGCCGGCTCTCTCGGGGGCTGCACAGGTGTTCCTTCAGATAGATGTTCCCCTTAGATGTTCCTGGTGCATGTTGTCTCTCTCCTCCTTTATAGTCCTCTTCCGCCAATCCCAACTCTGCTACCCACACGCCGAGTATGCTGCTCTCCTCCAATCCGGAGTAAGTCCTACAGTTTATTGGTTGAACTGGAGGCAGCTGTGTAGAAGCTGTTTCTCCCTTCTCAGCGCCATATTGTGGGAGAGCAGATGCATAGAATAAGTCTTAATTCCAGTAACTTAGTCTAGTCTGAGTTGCTCCCCACAGGTGCTGGTTCTGGTCCCAGCTGCTCCTCTTCTGATCCAGCTCTCTGCTATGGCCTGAGAAAGCAATGGAAGATGGCCCAAGTCCTTGGGCTCCTGCACCCATGTGGGAGACCCAGAGGAAGTTCCTGGCTCCTGGCTTCGGGTCTGCAGTTCCGGCCATTGCGGCCACCTGAGGAGTGAACCAGCGGATGGAAGACCTCTCTCTCTCTCTCTCTGCCTCTCCTTCTCTCTCTGTATAACTCTGACTTTCAAGTAAATAATAAATAAATCTTAAAAAAAAAAAAACACTTAAAACAGAAATATCACTGATACTGGGTGATAATTACATCAGTGTTCCCTGTTGGTGAAGGTTGATGTAATATTCCTGACAGCGACAAAGCTAAAACACTCCACATGCCAGACCAGGCAACAAACATGTGTGTTGTTATGGTCCTGCCTCATAGAAGCGTGTTAACAACCACCCAGCCAACTGGGTGGGCTGAAACATTTGCCTGAAACTGATCATCTTCACTCTCGCAGTTTTGCCAAATTCTTTCATTATGCCATAATCTAGAAATCATTCCAATTGGCATTTTTCTTGCTTTTTCTTTTTAAAGATTTATTTGTGTGAAAGATGGAGTGACAAAGATAGAGATCTTCCATCCACTGTCCTCCTCAAATGGCCAGAATGACTGGGGCTGGGCCAGGCCAAGGCCAGGAGCCTAGAACTCCCTCTGGGTTCCCTACATGGGTGGCAGAGGTTCAAGGCCTTGGGCCATCTTTTTGGTGCCTGCCGGGCACATTAGCAGCAAGCCAGGACCCGTGAGCCGTCATTCTCATACAGGATGCCAGTCCCAACTTGGCACTTTTCAGTCCTAAGGAAGCATCTACGAGGTGTCAAACTCGGTGTTTTACAGAGGAAAATGAGAAAGTCTGCTCTAAAGAAATCCACAGTCCGAGAGTGAAGTCATTAATGAAAACAACCAAAAAGCGCACTTTGGCGATCGGCCAGGAGTTTCTCAGATTTCTTCCCCCGCCCGGAGCTCACCCCGTGTCGGCGGGTGGGGGTCATCAAGAGAAGTCAATGGATTCTCTTCCTCATCTCCTCAGCTTGGCGCCCATCTTCCTTCCCAACTCAACTCGGGTATAAAACACTCAGCGACTCAGCCCTTCATAAAACCCAACCCTTGGCACCAGAGGGCTTGGTACACGTTAAACACGTGAGCAACTGTGTTAACCCAGACAGGCAGGCCAATTTGGACTTGCTGCCAACAAGCAGGGTGTCCAACTCCAGGCCTTGCTACTTCTCTTGGGTTTTGTTTTCTTACTTAGAACAACTTTTAAAAAATATATTTACTTTATATGAAAGGCAGAGTTAGAGAGGCAGAGGCAGAGAGAGAGAGAGAGAGAGAGAGAGAGAGGTCTTCCATCCACTGGTTCACTCCCCAGATGGCTGCAATGGCCAGAGCTGCGCTGATCCGAAGCCAGGAGCCAGGAGCTTCTTCCAGGTCTTCCACGCGGGTGCAGGGGCCCAAGGACTTGGGCCATCCTCCACTGCTTTCCCAGGCCACAGTAGAGAGCTGAATCGGGAGTGGAGCAGCTGGGACCTGAACTGGTGCCCATACTATATGAGAAGCGGGCACTGTAGGCGGCCACTTTACCCGCTATGCCACAGCGACGACCCCCAGAAGAACCATTTCCAAGGCTCAAGTGTAGTCCTGGACTTTGCTTTAAAAACTCTGTACCTGTGCCGTGGCGTGGCGGGTTAATCCCTAGTCCTGCATCCAATATGGGCGCGGGTTCAAGTCCCAACTGCTCCACTTCTGATCCAGCTCCCTGCTAACGCGCCTGGGAAAGCAGTGGAGGATGGCTCAAGTCCTTGGGCCCCTGCACCCGCGTGGCTCCTGGCTCCTGGCTTTGGGTCGGCTCAGCTCCGGCCGTTGCAGCCATCTAGGGAGGGAACCAGCGGATGGAAGACCTCTGTCTTTCCTTTTCTGTCTCTGTAACCCTTTCAAATAAATAAAATCAAAAATATGTATCTAGTCACTCTTTAAAAAAAAATTTACTTAAGGCAAGACGTCCTGCTGCAATCCCGCAATGCGTTCCGACCCAGGGGGCGCGGGCGCAGTGAGGGTCCCGACCGCAGGGGCGTGTGTCGGAGGCCATCGGCCGGCTCCCGGGGGTCCCCAGGCAGCCCCCGGGCCGCCGCCAACCCCTCGTGGCGCCGTCGCGCGCCCGCCATACCTCACTCTGCTCTCACCCGGCCGGTGCCAAGCGCCCGCTCCCCACAGCGCAACCCCAGGGGTCGGGTTTTCAGTGAACCTCGCCTCCTCGGGGGGCCTGCAGAGGAAAGCCCCGTCACTCCTCCCTGAGCGTCTCCACGGCCCGCGGCCGGCAGCCCCCGGCCCACGTCCGAGCCGCAGGGGCCTGTGGCGACAGCGCCGTCCGCCCGGCACCGGCTCGCACCCGGGGCAGGGCGGGGTCGCGACCCGGCGCGGAGGGCGCCCGGAGCCCCGCCCCCCGCGCCGCGGCCCCGCCCCCGCCTGCGGCCGGGCCGCGGTCACGTGCTCTGCAGACCCCGCCCCGCAGACGCGGCTCCCCTCGCACCGGGCGTCCCGGCCTCCCTTCCGCCGGAAGTGGGGCGCTTTTCCCTTTCCGGCTACGGGTCCCCAAGCGGAGCGGGAGGCCGGACCGGGGAGCCGACAGGCGGCGGCGGCGGCGGCGGCGGGGGCGGTAATGGCGGAGCTGGTGCAGGGGCAAGGTGCTCCGGTGGGGATGAAGGCCGAGGGCTTCGTGGACGCCCTGCACCGGGTCCGGCAGGTACGGGTGCGGCCGGCTGGCGGGAGCACGAGAGTCCGAGGCGGGGCCGGGCCGGGCCGGGCCGGGCCGGGCGGGGAAGAGGGGGTCGGGCCTGGGGGCGGGAGGCAGCCGGGGCCGACGCCTCAGCCGGGCCTGGCCTTGCTGTGGGGCGTCTGCGGCGGGGAGGAGCCAGGGGACGAGGCGCCGCTGCGGGGCTCGGGCCCACCCTCGTCGGGCGGGTCTCCCAGGTGCCTGCAGCCGCTGGGAGAGGAGCCCCGGGGCGCCCCCGCGGCCGGGCTGAGGGTCGTGGGGGCAGGGGGCTGGGGAGCTCCCGCCGAGGGTCCGGGCACGGAAAATGCCGTCTTTGGACTTAACCATGCTTGGAGGGTGGAGTGGGAGAAACCGAGGGTGCTCTGGAGGCGGGGGGTCCCGGGCCCTGGAAGTCCCGCGTGTCAGCCGTTTTCCTGTGCCGGCGAGAACAGGACAGGGGCTCATCCCGACTGTGGGGCTTGGTCGTGCATTTTGACAGAGTTGCAAGGGGCTGCACGCTTCCCCGGACAGCGAGCGTGGGCCCTGCCGCCGGCGGTTCCCTGCCTCCCGGCAGGCGTCTTCGCCTCGTGTCAGGCTTACCGACCAGGTAGCCGGGATACCGGAACTTGCTCTGTTGACTGGCATCTGACTGTCGTTGCTGTGTGGTTGTGCGTGCGCTGATGGTATTAAGGGTTGGGCTGTAACTACTGACTGCTGGATCCCCGACAGACAGCCGCAGGACTCGCTGTGCTAGAAGAAGTTCTCCACTTCCATCTCTTCCCAGTGTCCGAGGGAGGGAGCCCTACCCGTTTCCCAGATACTCACTGTTGGTCCGAATACCCGGCTCCTCGAGACGTCCTGTCGGATCCCAGAACTCTTCGAGCCTGTGGTCCCGCCTGGAATCTTACCTGATGAGTGGTCCTCACTGCCTGGGTGCCAAGCAGGGCGGTAGTGAGTGTCCAGGGCCGCCCGCGGGCTGTGATGGACAGACACGCCCTCCAGTGCCCCCTCCGCTCCTCTGCGGTACAGGGCCCTGCACCTGTTCTCTGGCTGTAACACAAGTGTGCAGTTCTGTGCTGATGTGTGACAGTCACCTTGCTGGCCTGCTGTGTCCAGGAAGAAGTCTAGTCTGCCCTGAGGAGCCCGGGTCCTGTGGTTGAACGTAGAGAGCGGTTAGAACCATTGAGAAGACGGCGTTCCCTGCGCTGGTGGTGAAACTCGTGTTCTTGGACAGCCTGCTCGGGAGGGAGCCCCTCTGTCGTACGCTGGCCTCATGTGGGTTGCTGAAGCAGGGGTGTTTACTGTTAGCAGTGAAAACCTCCCCGGAATTGTGCTCAGCTCTGAGCTATGCTGTTGGCCGGAGCAGGAATCAGCTGGGTGGAGACAGGGCCGTAGGTGTGTGCCTTCTGGTGTTAGCAGCCAGAGGTCCACACTTCTCCAAGGACTGGACGGCCTTTAAAGACCGAAGGAGAAGACAGGTCTGTGTGTAACGTTAGGTGTAGCCCACAGATTTGCGTGGACAAGAGTGGGGTGTTAAAATCTGTGATACTGTGTGCCTTATGGTAGGGCTGACCCAGAGGCTCCCGTGTCGTTTGGACATCTTTAAGGAAACTCGGCTTCACCGCTGTGTGCGCAGCATGTTGTACAGACGTGACTTCCCCCACGTAAATAGAAGTAAAAGACTGCGTTTCTCTATGTGAGTGATTTCAAAGCTCTCTCTTCTCTTACGTGTCTTCATAAACAGTCTTTGAGCCCTTACAGGTTTGTTAGGGAGCAGTGAGGCGTCGGCGTGCTCAGTGTGTCCGGCAGATCCCGGCAGAGTCTGAGTGGCCCCTGCTGCAGTTGGAACCTGCAGTGTCTGTCCAGTCTGCCGCGTGGCGTCCAGCAGCTAATCCACGGAGCGTCCCTGTGGCACCCTGGAGCCTTTTGCGTAGCCTTTGGCCTCTTTCCAGCAAAGTGAATCAGTTGTTGCTGTGAGGTCCCTCTGATCAAAAGAGAATCTCGGAAGATGTTGTGTACGCTTTAAATGTTTTCCCAGCAGTCTGGAGTCCAGCGAGTTCGTGTTGGGCACACGTGGGTCATGGACACCGTTCTGCAGGGAGCAGGACTGTGGTCCGACTCGGTCCCAATGCCGAAGAGCTGAATCTGCTGCGTGTTAAAAGCATGCAGGGATGGGGGCCGCTTGGAACATGCTCATCCCACGTCAGCCTCCTGGGTTGAAGTTCTAGCTCTGCTTCCCAGGCCAGCTTCCTGCCACTGTGCGGTATGGGGGGCAGCAGATAGTGGCTCACGTGGTTGGGTCCCTGCTGCCCATTTGGGAGATTCGCTTGGAGTTCCTGGTTCCCAGCTTCAGCCTGGTGCAGCGCTGGCTGTTTTGGGCATTTGAGGAGTAAACCCCCAGATGGGGGTAGCTCGCTCTGTGTGTCTGCTTTCCACATAAAATGAAAATGAACAAACGTTAAGTAAAGACATGGCTAGTTCTGCAGAGTTACAGGCTTGGTAGTAAAAGTAAAGTGTTTCTTCAACTCGTGCAGAGGGAACAGGGTCCTCCTAGTACAGGTGGGACGTGTGCCCAGCGTTAGGTAGGCCTCTGCACCTGCCTCCTGACTGGCTGGGTCGCGGCTATCCCACTGCGATAATGGATGAGTAGGTACAACTGTGGCTCGTTTTGCTTAGTTTTTCTAAAGGTATTTTTGCAAGTTCCAAGAAAGTCTGCTGCTCGTGTAGTTGTGTCTGTCACCAGGTACCAGCAGGCACGTGGGAACAGGTCCGTGTGCCACCACAGAGCATCGCTGGTCCCGACGGCCTTCCACAAGCCGGTCAGCGGTCGCCAGGCCTTACCTCGAGAGGAGAGGATGCCAGCCCCCAGTGCTCTGTAGGACAGTAAGCTGCTGTGTTGATCCAGGCCCAGCCAGCGCCTCTGCATTGCACAACGCCAGAGGATTCTGTTCACTTAGAATCAAGTATGAATGGAGCTTCACGCAGTGGCTCAGCCCCTAGTGGGTACGAGGAAGTCCTTGCCGAGTCAATAGGAAGTGGCCTTTTGACAGATTTTCCAGCCTGGAACCTGTCTTTGCTGGCATTTGGGAGTGGGGGAGGATGGGGGTTGGTGTGGCGCCTCCGCTGCTGCTGCCTCTCGCCTTGAACCTGAGCAGTTGGCATGATTGTCGGATACCCTGGGCCCGTGTGGACTTCAGCAGTGCGAGGTGCTTTGTATACAAGCACAGTGTTAGGAGAACACTGTGTGTCTGCCATTAACAGTGGGGGAGAAAACCTGCGTTGATTGGCTGCTGGCTACACCTTGAGAGATTCGTGCCTTTGCCCATTTGTTAATGTTTGTTGACTCCTGCAAAGGTGAGCGTGCTGGGTGGTCTACATGCTTAGTTTGCACTCACTGAGACTGTTGTGTACAAGCAGGGGTTGACCAGTTCAGCATGGCACAAGGGGCCGACGTCTGCCTGCAGGCTCATGTGAGCTTTCTCAGACGCCTGAAGGCGGCCAGGGGCTGCAGGAGGCCCATGGGCTGCTCCCGGAGCTTTGCTGTGGTGGGACCCAGTACAGCGCCCTGCACAGGGCGAGTCCTTGTTAAAGAGTTTTGGGTGTGCCACTGAGCCCACCTGGGGAACCACATGCTAATGCTGAATTTCGTGTTTGGTATTGAAGAGTAGACAGTAAACGAGCTATGCATTCCGCTGGATGCCTCTGGCTTTCCTGGGCGGTAGCTGAGACTTCTCTTCTTACCATCTGACAGCCCATTGGTGCTAGCAAACTTTGGATTGCTTTGAAGTCTGTTTTGTTAGATACCTCCACCACAGTTCCCTAACTGGTAGCCCGTGGGCTGGAGCAGGGTTACAGTGGGTCTGCAGGCGTCCTCTGTTTGACCCACTCGGTGCCAGCTCTCAGAAACTAGAGTGGTTGGCGGAAACTGAGACTCCAGCTTTTCTAGAAAAGGTGTGGCCACACTGCTTCCACTTCCTGTGTGGCGGTGGTGGGCAGGAGTAGCTGCTGCCCGCACAGGCGCCTTGACTCTGGGCTGCCTTCACCCCGCCTCCTTGGTGAAGGTTGGGATGCCCGATGAGCAGCTTTGGTCCTGATTCTTTGCCAGTTGTGAGCCCATCATCTAATTCTAGTGCAAAGAAGTCTGGGTGGAGAGTCAGAGGTCTGTGTCTCCTGCCGGTGGCCGGATGACCTTGGGCCAGGTTGGCCTTTGCCAGCTTCTGATCGCAAGCTGTGGTAGGTCCTCCATGAAGAGGAGCTCTTGGGCAAACAAGTTTGTAAGTGCAGGGTTCAGTAAAAGTGAGCTGGCTGAAGTCAGTGCCCTCTGTTCATGAAGCCGAGTCTTATTCTAGGGGTCAAACTTGAGGAAGTGGACAGTCGCAACACTTTAAACCCATGAATATTCAGCATTTGCATCTGACTAGATTTTTTTTTATTATTATTAAATAGAATTTTTGGATGCTGGCGCTGTGGTGCAGCGGGTTAAAGCCCTGGCCTGAAGTGCTGGCATCCCATATGGGCGCTGGTTCGAGTCCCGGCTGCTCCTCTTCCAATCCAGCTCTTTGCTATGGCCTGGGAAAACAGTAGAAGATGGCCCAGATCCTTGGGCCCCTACACCCACATGAGAGACCCAGAAGAAGCTCCTGGCTCCTAGCTTCAGACTGGTGCAGCTCCAGCCATTGCAACCATCTGAGGAGTGAACCAGCGGATGGAAGACCTTTCTCTCTCTCTTTCTCTGCCTGTCTATAATGCTTTCAAATAAATAAAATAAATATTTTTTAAAAACATGGAATTTTTAAGATATTACTTATTCATTTAAGAGGTAGAGTTACAGAGAGAAAGGTCTTCCATCCGCTGGTTCACTCCCCAAATGGCCACAAACAACTGGAGCTGCGCTGATTCAGAGCCAGGAGTTTTTCCCAGGTCTCTCATGTGGGTGCAGGGGCCCATCTTCTACTGCTTTCTCAGGCCATAGCAGAGAGCTGGATCAGAAT